TTATTTTATTATTTTTGTGTGCGTGTACCGTCAAATCAGATCTGACTGGTACAGGAGGAGATTGTCCCTCCTTCCCTGGCAGAGCATCTGGTGGATTCGAACCGTGCCCCTCTGGGATTGTAGTTGCAGCTTCTTACCACTAGGCCACCAGAGCTCCCCACACTTAAGATTATTAATGAGTCAGTGGCAACTGGTTTGTTTTCCTATCAGTGAGTGCTTCAAATGAGTTGTTGAAGCAAATGAATGTTCAGTCCTGAGCCTACTGATTTCCAGCCTCGCTTTCCTGCTGCCCTTTTGACTCCCTGTCTCAACCGTCTTTCCATTAACCTCGGTACTGTGTTGTGTCTCTGCCCGGTAAACACACTGGTGGTGGAGGCTGCATTGGTGACTACCCGCTAGTGATGTACACAAGCCTGCCTGACTTCTGGACCTCCTTGGGGAGCCAGGTTCAACCGAGATAATTTTTGGAGCCTCTGTGATTCCTGCAGGGTTCTGGCTGATTATGAGTGACAGCCCTTCCATTTCTTTTCCAGGATCTCCTCTTGAGCCTGCATTTCTCCAAGATGTTGGAATTTTTGAGGCAGCCACTAGTAGTGACAGCAAATATCAACCTGAATGTCGTGGCTCTGATGGGGCTGGGCCTGCTGAGCAGACTGTGGCAACTCACTTATCCCCGGGCTGTGGTGTAAGCCGGACACCTCCCATCTCCATTCCCCTGGGGAATCCAAAGAGAACTGTACTTTGTTCATTACTTTTTGTGATATAAAGTTCTTTTAAATAGCATTGGAGAATGAGGTACTAATAAGCTATGTGGTGTATGTTTTTGGCAACAGAATGAAAGACCTTTTTGTCCCCGGGAGAATCCCCACAGAAAACATCATTTTAGTCTTACCCCATGGGTTTGTAGTTGGTAAAACATGATGCTTTATAATAGGGACAGTTGAGGTTCAGCCATTATGGCTACTGTCGAGGTAACTGTCTAACCCTAATGGGTAGAGAAGAGATAAATTTGGAACTGAGTCTTCACTAACCGTGGAGTATGATTTTTGTTAATGGAAAATGCCTGCTGCTTTTATTATTATGTTATGAAACATAGATCAGTTCTTTTTTGTTCATATGGAAAAATATCAATTGTACATAATTGTACATAAAAGTAGTATGGAAAGTAAAATGACCTCATCAGTCAGCTACATCAATTATTAATTCATAGACAACCTGTTCTTTATGCTGGATTATTTTGAAATAAATCCTAGATTTAATTACAAATAGTATATGTCCCATAAGAGAAAAAAATCCTCATGGCCTGAAGTCAGAACTAACTGATGGCTGAGCCTTCAACAGGTTTTGGAAACTAAATCACACGGAAGGAGTTTGCCCATCTTGCTCCCTCCGAGCCAGTGGTGGATTTAAGTCACCAGAAAATTACTGCCTTTAACCCATTAGGGCTCCGTGACCCCACAGCTCTTGTAAGATAAGAGTTCTTAAATCCAAATATCACGTGACCGAGGTATCATTATTACCGCTGAGAAATTGACAGCAGTCCTTATTGTCATCAGATTTCCTCAGTTGTCTGGAAATGTCCTGTTCAGTGGATTCGTCTATGTCTTTCTTACCTGTGCCTGTTGGGTCACCAGCTCTGATTCTGGCTCTTGACCACAGACATGTGGCTTTTGGCATGGTGACTGATGATGCACACCTGAATAGAAACCGAGAAGAGAACTAGCATCTGTATCGGGTCAATGCCCTGAATGTCCACTGTTCGTGGAATTTCTGATTCAGGCAGGCATCTCGAGCTTCTGAATGTTCTACTCTGTCCCATGGACAGGTTATATTTACATCTTGTGACAGTTGGGAATAGGATGTCATTGGAGTAAAAGATCCAGTCTTTGCTGATCCTTCACCTGAATTCGTCCGGAATCCCAATCACGCTTAATTCTCGTAGCTTTTCCTTTGACTTCAGGTTGGTAGGTGGCATATAATGTGGGTCTGGTTTTGTTTGCAGTTTTGATGAAGTCTATTATGGGCAGTACATCTCTTTTTACATGAAACGGATCTTCTTCCTGGACGGCAGCGGACCCCCATTTGGCCACATGCTGCTGGCCTTGGGAGGTAGGCTCATAGTGGGACAAGCCACCATGGATTCAGGTCCTAAGGACGCTTAAAACTTAGACATGAAAAACAAAATTAAAAAAAAAACTTAGAAGTGAAATTTCTTGAGGACAGAAACCATCTCTGTATTATTTGTGTGTCATCGTTTGCCTGTTGCAGGCCGCAGTGTGGGACCCGGAAGGCTGAGCGGCATGGGGTGGTTACGATTAATCTTCTCTTTCAGGTTATTTAGGAGGATTTGATGGCAACTTTTTGTGGAACAGAATTGGAGCAGGTAAAAGATCATATTCATCCCCCTGATTAATTTGTATGTATTAGACTGGAGAGGGGAGGGGCTTTTGTAGGGGTTAATAAGTTAGTGAGTCTGAGTCCCAGGTATGAGAAATTCTTTGGTGACAAATGAGATTACAGTGACTGTCTTCTCACTCACTTTGGTACACGTGTCCATTTCTCTGTGTGGCGTCTGGTCTCATTCCTCTTTGGAATGAGTGAACGGATGGATGTTAACACAGTGTGTGGAAGTAGGTGGAGTGAAATGATAAACAATCGAAAAAATTAATTTCTGAACTCTTAGCCATCATTGCTTAGTGAGAGCTGGCTTCTTGACTGTGTAACGCTTATCCCAGAGCCCTCATCCCGAGTTTGCACCCTGATGCTGGGGTGCTCCCTAACTTAGCAAGTTCACAGGGAAGAAGTGATTGGTTTAAAATCTCTGGGGGATGTGAAGGGGGTATGCGTGCTCTCAGTGCCGCTCTCTGGCTACTTTTCCAGAATACAGCAGCAACGTGCCTGTGTGGTCCCTGCGCCTGCTGCCGGCCCTTGCAGGGGCCTTCTCAGTCCCCATGGTCTACCAGATAGTGCTAGAACTCCACTTTTCCCACTGCACCGCCATGGGAGCCGCACTGTTGATGCTGATAGGTAAGACCTGAGCCCCTGCTTCCTCCTCTTTGTGTCGAAGGACCTGGGGCTGGTCTGCCTTCAGTGTTTAATCTCCGAGAGCTTGGGCGTTTAGTAGGCGTGCAGCCCACACATCTGCTCACAGGTGGGCGCACATCCGGGTCACATGACTCCTTTGCCTCTTGACTGACCCCCTTGCCTGTGTGGGATTACTTCTCAGTGGTCAGACATTTTTAGAGGGGGTGCAATCATACCAGTACGGTGTCACCCCGAACCGCGCATGGTCCACCCTGAGCACACGTCCACCTTCAGCCAGGCCTGTGATAATTTCCCCTGAATGGATACATGTCTTAGCAGATACTCATCGGAAAGACCAGCTCAGCTCATCTGCATGAACAAGGAAAATGAAATAAATCGATTGAGTGACAACTCCACACGAGGCTGCCTAATATGACCATTCACACTGCAAAGTCAGTGTGATTTCTACAAACAAAATATACATAAAACTACAGCTCATTAAAGCTTAATTGTAGGGATTCAGAAATAAGCACCCACTTTCCTGGCTCTGGTGCAGCCCCTTCCTGAACACAGTCGGGGACACTTTGGAGTGGTGTCTCAGTGAAATACGTCTCTTTGGTAAATGCCTTACACGTTTGCTCTCACCTGTCTTAATGCCAACGTGTGTTTTCTCTTTATGACAGAGAATGCGCTCATCACTCAGTCAAGGTTCATACTTTTGGAATCATTGCTCATATTTTTTAACCTGTTGTCTGTGTTGTCCTACCTGAAGTTCTCCAACCTCCAAAAACACAGGTATGGAATACCCAACATCTCCTCCTGTGGAAACAGGAAAAAGGAATCTAGCCAGTTTGTTTACCCGGCTGAGGCACGTTGGGGAGCTGTGTGCTGAACCTCTCTCTGTGCCTCAGTTGGCCTCTGGCTTCATAAATACATCCTCTTTTTCCTGTAACTGAAGAAAGACAGGAGGAATATTCTGCCGTGACCAGTAGGTTTTGAGACCAAGATTTCTTTTTTTTTTTCATTCATTCATTATTGCACATTTCTCCCCTCCCAGCCTTCCCCTCTAGTACACTACCCTCTTGTAAAAGTAAAAGAAAAATTCAGTTCTTTCATTGTTTTACAGTCCCTCCCCCGAGGTCTGCTCCACTATGCAGCCTTCGCTCTGGACTCCTGCCATGACAAAAACCCCTAATAATTTTCCCTCTTAAACAGTTTTCTCTCTCATCTGTTTCAATGCAGTATACATTATTGACCCCATCCTTCTCAGTCTCCTCCCAACCCCGAGGTCAGTCCTGCTTTACAACAGTGGCACCATGCAGTATTTGTCCTTTTGTGACTTAGATACTTCACTCAGCATAATGTCCTCCAGGGTCACCCATTTTGAATAATATTACATGAGTTGCTTGTTTTTCAGTGCAGCATAGTATTCTATTGTGTGAATATACCACAGCTTCTCTATCCATTCATTTGTTAATGGGCACTTAGGTTGTTTCCAACTCCTTGCTATTGTGAACAATGTGGCATGAAACATGGGTGTGCATATATCTGCTTGGATGTCAGTTATGGTCTCTTTGGGGTATATTCCCAGTAGTGGAATTGCTGGGCCAAATGATATCTCTGTTTGCAACTTTTTGAGAAAGCGCCACACTGCCTTCTGCAGAAGTTGCACCATTTTACACTCCCACCAACAGTGAATAAGGGTTCCAGTCTCTCCACAACCTCGCCAGCATTTGTTGCTTGCTGTTCTGTTAAATTTTGCAATTCTGACTGGGATGAGATGATATCTCATTGTTGTTTTAAAGGACTCCTTTTTCTTATACTCAAAGCTCAGTAAAACAAAACCACTGCAGACAATGGGGTCAGTTCTGGCTTAGAGGGAGCAGCCCTGCCAGAGAGAGTAGAACCGCCCACAGTATTTCTGAGGCTGTAAATTTTCACAAAAGCAGACTTCTGGCCACCTCATTCCCCATTGGAGCAGCTGATAAATCCAAACCTTCAGCCTTTAGGTTAGCAGCCACACAGGAACACCACCAGGATGCCTTCCAGTCGAATCACCTGGGCCAGAAAGACTTCACTGAGCACACATGCCTTTAAGGCTTTGAGCTGTCCTGTCCTTATCTACTTTGTTTCTGTTTCATTCTAGCCCTTTTTCTCTAAGCTGGTGGTTTTGGCTGATGCTGACGGGCATCGCTTGTTCCTGCACCATTGGGTAAGTTGATCTGTCTTGGGTGTATTCTCTTCTTCCTCTTTACTTTTATGCCTCATTCGAGATTTTACTTTGAATCATGTCTTTCTCAGGATAAAGTACATGGGTATTTTCACATACTTGCTCGTGCTCAGCATTGCTGCTGTCCACGCGTGGCACCTGATTGGAGACCAGACCTTATCGAATGTAGGTGCTGAATCAGGCCGCAGCAGCCTGAGCGGGTGGGTTAACTGTCACTAACTCTAAGCATCCAGGGTCTGGAAGGCACCTGTGTGTGTCCTGTTCCATGATGTTTCCTTTCCTTTCCGGCAGGTCTGTGTGCTCGGTCACCTGCTGGCCAGGGCTGTGGCTTTACTGGTCATCCCGATCCTCACGTACCTGCTTTTCTTCTACGTCCACCTGATCCTCCTCTGCCGCTCGGGGCCCCATGACCAGATCATGTCGAGCGCCTTCCAGGCCAGCTTGGAGGTAAGCGGTGGGAAGTTGTGGCTACTTGAGAAAGAAGATGGTAGATTCAAAGTTTGTCTCACAGCACAGTCATCAAGCAAGAGAGGAAGCTGTCAAGAAGGACTCCACAGCAGTGTCCCTAAACAGATTGTGAATAGACACTGATGTCTGGAAGGAGCAAAGGGTGTTTGGGGTGCCCTGCTGGAGAACATCTAGTCCTGAAAAGCCTGAGCTGCCTCAGATGCCTCACAGGACATCCCTGACTCTGCTGTGACCCAGCAGAGATCGGGCACCTGCCTGTTGAGTGGTTAAGAGCATCACCTCTGAAGTCTAACCGACGTGCCTTAAAGTCTTTGTACTGTGTTATGTTCTAACCTCACCCATGGCTCTACCTCTAAAGTTTAACAACTTGCTTTAAAGTCCCCACTCTACACCTGTGACTTCATCCATAGCCACTGGTGAGAGTCAGTGCCCAGAGCCATCAGGGGCTTTAAGCTCGTTGTCCACTGCTGTGGTGTGGACAGCTGAAACCCAGGCCC